ATTAAGGTGTTATGTGGTGTTATAATTTAGTTTTTCTAATCTTATAGTGGTGTTATTGTTATGGTTTAGGGTGGAGTGTTATCGTTTAAAGTTTATGAATTATTTTGTAATAGTGGTGTTATTGTTGTATTTTTTTGCATTACTGTTGTGTTATTATCGTGCTATTGAGGTGTTATGTGATGTTTAGGTTTAGTTTTGCTAGTGTTATAGTGGTGTTATTGTTATGGTTTAAAGTTTAGGGATTGTATTGTTCTAGTAATGTTATCTTTGTAATATTTCGTGTTATTGTTGTGTTATTTAAGTGTTATGTGATGCTATAGTTAAGTTTTTCTAGTGTTATAATCGTGTTATTGTCAGAGCTTAGGGTGTAGTGTGTTATCGTTTAGAGTTTATGAATTGTATTGTCCTAGTAGTGTTATTGTTGTATTATTTAGGTATTTTTGTCGTGTTACTGTCGTGATACTGAGGTGTTATGTGATGTTATTGTTTACTTTTTCTAGTGTTACAGTGGCGTTATTATTTAGGGATTGAATTATTGTAGTGGTGTCAGTGTTTTGCTATTGTGGTGATGTTATTGTATAGTTTTTATAGAGTTATGGTGATGTTATTTGTTATTTTTTTTTTGTACTGTTATTGTGTTTTTGTTGTTTGCCTTATATCTATCTGACTATTTTGTAAAATGGGGTGGTGATGTGCAGTGCAATGATCCAATCACAGAGACGTTTCTTTGTACCGCTGTGCTTAATGATCAAGAAGCGTATGAATGCTACCGTGCCTATGCACATCATGTAGGCTTTTCTGTTAGAAAGGATCATAGTAGCTATTGACCAAACCCGAAGAAGATTAAAATTAAAGATTTTATTTGCGGAAATGCTGGCCACAAGAAGGAGTCAAGCCTGACAGATACTGTGAAGTTTAGGAAAACTGACACGAGGACTGGATGTCAAGCCATTGTTAGATATGTCATCGATATTGAAGAAAATTGGACTGTTAAGAAATTCATTGAAAGCCATAACCACCCTCTTATCAAAAGCGGTGATAAACATCTTTTGTGTTCTAGCAGAAAGATAAGTGAGTTAAATGCAGATTTGCTTAGATCAATGACAGGAGCAGAGATTAGAGCAACAAATGCATATAACTTTATGGCCACAGAGGTTGGGGGGTCGAGAATCTAGAATGCACGAAAAGAGATGCATACAATTTTATTCAAAGAGAAAGAAGGGAAAGAATAGAGCAAGAAGATGCCAATGCGCTAATACAATTGTTCATGGAGAGGCAAGTTGAGGATACAATGTTTGCTTGTGATTTTGAAACTGATGAGTGTGACAGACTCATAAGCTTTTTTTAGAGCGACAGGTTATTCAGACTTGATTATGGTTGTTTTGGTGACGTAATAATTTTTTATACAAGCTATCAATTAAATAAATATAATTTATGTTGTGCTCTGTTTGTGGGGGTGAACCACCATTGGAAAAATTCCTCTTTGGAGTGAGTTTTTTGTTGAATGAGACCATTGATTCATTCAGGTGGTTATTCAAAACATTTATCCGAATAATGGGTGACAAGTATCCAATGACAATTTTCACAGATCAGGATCAAGTGATGGCTCGAGCCATTGAAGATTGTCTCCCACAGACACGACACAGGTTATGCCAATGACATATATATAAGAAATTTCCTTCAAAAGTGCATTGTCCTTTGGGTGTCAAGAATGTAGGCGATCTTTTTTACAAACACATGAGCAAGTGTGATACCGAAGGAGAATTTGAAGAAATATGGGCCACAATGATTGAGAAGGGGAACCTCCACAACAACATTTAGTTAAAGGACATGTACAAGATCAGACATAAATGATCCACATCCTTCAATAAAAAAATATTTGACATGAGAATATTATCAACACAATGAAGTGAATCAACAAATAATATTTGTCACGGTGTTTCATAGCCTACTAGCTCTCTCATGGATTGTTTTGTTGGCCTTGACAATATTATGAAATCATGAGGCCGAAATGAGAAGGATGAAGATTTCAAAAGTGATCAATCGGTCATTACGCCAGTGGTAAAAGACAATCCATTTTTGAGGCAAGCTGCCACCTTTTATTCAAGAAAGCTTTAGACCGTGTTCCAGCAACAATTATTAGACGGGCTTTGTGGACTAACAATTGAATGCCTTCCAGAGAGTGACTTGGAATATATTGTAAGGAATTTGGATAACCAAGGAGCAAACAAGCGCTGGACTGTGAAACTTAACAAGGTCAATACTGAGCTCACTTGTACTTGCAAAAAGTTTGAAATGAAAAAGATATTATGTTCTCACTCACTTTATGTGCTTAATGTGGCGTAAATAAAGCTAATTCCCTAAAAATATTTCTTAATGCAATGGTTTGTTCACGCTAAAAGGAACATGTATAACAGCATTGGTTACGAACATATGAAGGAATCCCAAAAGAGCACCGGTTCAACAAATGGTCTACTATTTCACTCACACTATCACAAATTTGCATACCAACTCATTAATAAAACACAGGGAAATGAAACAACTTAGCAGATGCTTTGGGAAACATTTAAACATCTATCTGCAAATATTGATGACGCATGAGCTGGAAAACCATCTCAAACAAATAAAAAATTAAAGAAGACAAAAACACCAAATGCTCAGCTGGAAAACCACCTCAAACAAATAAAAAATTAAAGAAGACAAAAACACCAAATGCCCAAGTCAATTTGGATGACTCGGCAAAAATGAGGTCGAAAGGAGTTTCTACGTCTAGATGGAAAGGGTATTGGGAGAAGAATAAGAGACCAAAAAATATATATTTTAATATTATAATATATTTTAATTATTGTATGATTGTCTTTCTCAAACCTAAATCATTGTATATAGGAAAACATCAAGAAACATCAACAAGCCAAGATCCCGGTATACCATCCGAGGCAAATTTATTTGAAATGCCAGATTATCTCAGTCAGGTATATAGTTGAAACTCGGTATCATATAACATAAATGTCGGTGGCATTAACATTTATATTTCATTTTAATATCTCAATTTCTTCAGGAATATGAGGCATCCCAGCCAACACAAGGATATACCCAACTGTTGATGGATTCAATAAGTGATCTATATTTGTAATATTATCGAGTTCATGTGTTTCATATATTTGTTTTATTTATAATATTATCGAGTCAATGTTATTACGCAACTAATATAAGTTGTTATATTGCTAATTCAATAATGCACGCCCGTGTTTAATATTAATTTATATAAATTGATATATTACAAATTTAATAATGTTGACACCGTATATAACTTAATTTTGCGGTTTTATTAATATTGGATTTATTACTTATATAAATTTATAAATTTATACTTAATTTATTACATATATTACTTAATATATATAATAACACACATATACCGTGGTATATTACTTAATTTATACATTACTTATATAAATTGATATATTACTTAATTTATATATTTGCATAATTTTGCGGTTAAACCGCCCCTATAACGCAATAAGGTGTTATTCTGCCGCCTATAACGTCTGCCATTGTTATTCCTCTGAGGTATAACACATGGGGAATATTCCGGTATAACACATAGGGAATATTCCTCATCTATTACCATGGTGTAAGACATGGGGAATATTCCCCATGTGTTATATCGCCGTAATATAACACATAGACATGTTATTCTGCCGTCACGGTATATAATAACGCGTTATTTATCGAAAATCTTGTGTTATATTACTTAACTTATATGTTTGCATCATTTTTTTAATGTCATGTGCCGAGACGTTGATATTATCTAAGGAGGGCATTCATGTCGTTAACGCTTCGAATACGGGTAAAAAATGCGCAAATTATTGTTTTTAGCCTATAATGCGAAAACGTGTTATTCTGCCGCCAATAACGCTTCCCCTTGTTATTCCGTTGAGGTATAACCCATGGGGAATATTCCTCATGTGTTATACCATCGTAATATAACACATAGACGTGTTATTCTGCCGCCAATAACGCATGTAAGTGTTATTCCGCTGGGGTATAACACATGGGGCCCATGTGTTACCGCGGTTTAACACATGGGGAATATTCCCCATATGTTATACTACCGTAATATAACACATATGTGTTATTCCGCCGTCACGGTATATAATAATGCGTTATTTATAAAAAATCTTGTGTTATACTTCAATTAAATCGCATTATTTTTTAAATAATTGTGTTATACTGCATTATATACGCGTATACACGTGTTATTACGAATTATTGACGCGTTATTTAGCAAAATTCAAGTGTTATACCGCAATATTATTGTGTTATTGTTCAAATTTCAAGTGTTATAACGAGTTCAAAATTCAATTTTATCATGTTAT